ACAGCACCCAGGGAATGGCTGCCCAGGGTTAGGGGGGAGATTGGGAAGGGATTCCTGGCTGGGAGGGTGGGGAGGGGCTGGGCTGGAATTCCCAGAGAAGCTGTGGCTGCCCCTGGATCCCTGGAGTGTCCCAGGCCAGGCTGGATCCCCCTGGGATGGTGGGAGGTGTCCCTGCCCGTGGCAGGGGTGGCACTGGATGGGGTTTAAGGTCCCTTCCCACCCACCCCATTCCCAGATTCCACGGGGTGGCTGCAGGGGCCTTGCTCAGGGGCTGCTCAGGCCATGCAGGGACCCTTTCCCTGGAAGTTTTGGGTGGGTTTCTCGTTCCAAGCAGCGTTTTCAGGCTGGGGGAGTCGTTCCAGAGCCCTGGGAATGCTCCCTGACCTGCCCCCCGATCCCTCTGTTCCCAGACGGCTTCCGCAAGGTGGTGCACATCGAGCAGGGGGGGCTGGTGAAGCCGGAGAAGGACGACACGGAATTCCAGCACCCCTACTTCATCCGGGGCCAGGAGCACCTCCTGGAGAACATCAAGAGGAAGGTCACCAGCGTAAGTTCAGGCTGCACACCTTAGGGGGTGATTAAAGCCCAGGACTGATCCCACAATTCAGGTGCTTTTTATCCCTCCCATCCCACACGCACCCCCCACCTTCACCAGCACCCCCTGGATTTCAGATCAATCCAGTTATCAATCAATCCTGAAGTGGGGGCTGGAAGAACAACGCTCTGCTCCTCCTTCTCCAAGTGTTAATCCCAGATGGAGCAGCTCCTTCCCCTCCTTTCCCGGGGTGCTCTCAAATAACCAAATTATCCCACATCCCAGTTTTTCCCCCGCAGGGATTTGGCTCCTCTGGGCATTTCCCCCCCCCAGGGATGTAAAGAGGTCTTGGAGATCCCTGAGGGTGTTTTAAGCCCTTTGGCTGGCAGATTCCTGGCGTTCTGGACCGCTGGGATGTCGTTCCCTGGGGATATTTTACCAGGAGGGTGGAATCAGGTGCTGGGAATGCCGGGGCTGCTCCTCTCCGCTCCCAGTTTTACCCCTCAGAGCTGTTAACGGCTTTGCTAATTGCTGGCCCCCTTTGCTGGCAGAAATCCTACCAGGAGAAGGTGTGGGGTTTTTTTTCCCTGGTTTCTTCCCAATTTTACTCCCGGGATTTTTTTGCAGCCCCCGAATTTCTGGGCCGTTGTCGACTAAAAGGATGGATTTTCCCGAGGTGTGACCGATGGGCACGGCCCTGGGCTGGCTCCTCCCTGAGCACTGAGCTCCTGATCCAAAAAATGTCTGGGTTTTGGTTTTGTTTTTTAGTTTATGAGGGAATTTTCCTTCCATGAGGGAAATTTGCCTCCCGTGAGGGGAATTTGCCCGTTCCAACCCCCCTGGAGATGGGCCCGGGCAGGAGAGGGGCCACGAGAGCTTCAATTTTACACCTTGAGGTCCCTGACCCCCCCTGAGCCGTCCCCTGTCCCCCCCAGGTGTCTGGCATCAAGCACGAGGACATCAAGGTGCGGCAGGACAACGTCACCAAGCTGCTGACGGACATCCAGGTGATGAAGGGCAAGCAGGAGAGCATGGACTCCAAGCTGGTGGCCATGAAGCAGTATGTATGTGGGACGGGGCAGGGCTTCCAGCGGGGGTTTCCCCCTGAGGATTTGCACCCTGGAATTGCTGGGGTTGAACCCTTTGTGGGTTTTTTTTTCGGGGTTGGTTTGTGTTTTGTGGCCTGTCCTGTGTCCCCCCCCTGGGCAGGGGGGGAGCTTTGGGTGGGCAGAACCCACCCAGGGTGTGCCAGGTCAGCCCCCAGACGGGGTGTAAAGATGGTTTGGGGGACACCCTGCCCCAGGAAAGGCTGAGGGGCACTTCAGGAGCCTCTTTCCCAGGCTGGAATTTGGTTCTTCCCCGTTGGTTTTGTTGTTCTGCTGCACAGCCTCAGCTCCTCTCGCTGCTCCAGGGCATCTTTGGGTGGTTTGGGATAACTCTGCCCTCCCAGTGCTGTGCTCCTGCTCCTTCCTCCTCGTTCCCAGATGGATTTCTGATGGATAATCCTCCCCCCACAAGGGTTTGGGATAACTCTGCCCTCCCAGTGCTGTGCTCCTGCTCCTTCCTCCTCGTTCCCAGATGGATTTCTGATGGATAATCCTCCCCCCACAAGGGTTTGGGATAACTCTGCCCTCCCAGTGCTGTGCTCCTGCTCCTTCCTCCTCGTTCCCAGATGGATTTGTGATGGATAGTCCCCCCCATAAGGGTTTGCTGGTGGGTTGGGATTCAAACTGGGGGCTCCCATTAAACCCCAGTTCCTGCCCAGTGAAGGTGCCCAGGGTGCTGTCCCTGCCCCTCAGGGCTCGAGACCTGGGACACTCCCAGGGATGGGGCAGCCTCAGCTTCCCTGGAAATTCCATCCCAGCCCCTCCCCGCCCTCCCAGGGGAGGATTTGGGGCTGTGGGTGCCTGATTTCCCCCTGTAAATGGGGTTTTGGAGCTCTTTTCCCTGTTTAACTCCCCAGAACGTGCAGTGCCTGGATGAGGCAGGGAAGTGGGAAGGGGTTAAGAAATCCTTCCCTGGGAGGGGCTGGGCTGGAATTCCCAGGGAGTCCCTGGAAGCTGCTGAGATGAATCCCCGGGGCTCATCCCCCCTCAGGAAGGATCCACGTGGGCTGTTCCTCCTCGTTAGGGGGAGTCATTAATTAGCAGGAGGCTGGGAACCACTAGATGGAGTGCAGGGAGCAGCTCTGGGATGAGCTCTGGCCACTGGCCCAGCCCAGGAGCTCCCCTTCCTTCCAGGAATCACCCAGTTAATCACCAAAAAGAGAAAAAAAGGGGGTGGTTTTGCGGTTCCTGAAATGGGAAAAGCTGGAACTGGGGGTTGTTGGAAGCCCCTCTGGGAAATGGGAACACGGAAAGGGGAGAGGATCAAAATTAAACGAGGGATTAAATTACTCTGAGGGCTGGGGAGGGGCCCCCTGGGCAGGAATTTGTCTGGAGATGGCCCAGAGGAGGGGCAGTCCCTTCACCTGCCCCCCAGGAATGTGGGTGCCCCTTGCTGATCCCAGCCCCCCGTCCCTTCTCCTGGAGGGTTTGCAGGGCATTGCCCCTGTCTCCCTTTCCCTCAGGGATCTGGGATTCAGGATTCCCTTCCCCTGGATTGCTCCCAAACCTCCCCTGGGGCTCCTCCTGCCCTCGCTGCCCCTTGTTTTTCTGGAGGAGCTTTTGCCTGTTCTTGAGGGTTTGTGTCGTTCTGCACCCCCTCACTGGGGTTATTCCACGTTATTCCACGTTATTCCACGTTATTCCACGTTATTCCACGTTATTCTGGGATTTTCCAGGTTATTCCCTCCCCTCCTGGGCTCCAGAGCCGACACCCACCCCGCTGTTTGTAGGGAAGGTGGATCTGGGGGGTTCAGACCTCGGGCCTGCTGTGCTGCTGCTGCTTCAGGGACCCTCCAGAGCAGGAGGCTGCCAGAATTCCCTGGGAATCCTGGCTTGGAATCACGGAGCCGTGGGATGGGATGGGCTGGAAGGAGCTTTCAGAGGGCTCCGAGGTCCATCCAACCTGGAATTCCTGATTGTTGGGTGTGGGAGAGCTCAGTCAGCTGCTGGCTTCGGGAAAAACGTGGATTTGTGGGATTGGGGGGCGCCTGGAATTCCTGATTGTTGGATATAGGAGTGCTCATTTAGCTGCTGGCTTCGGGAAAAACGTGGATTTGTGGGATTGGGGGAGCCTGGAATTCCTGATTGTTGGATATAGGAGTGCTCATTTAGCTGCTGGCTTCGGGAAAAACGTGGATTTGTGGGGTGGTTCAGGTGGGAAAGGGCCCTCTGAAGGTCACCCGGAGCAGCTCCCTGCCCGCAGCCAGGGGGTGGGGAAGTGCCTGGGAGAAGTGCTGAGTCATGGAATGGCCTCGGGAATGACGGAGCAAACCTCGGGAATGACGGACAGCAGGGAAAAGCTGCTGAGTAACGGGGGCTGAGCTGGCTCTGCCTGCCCTGGGGATGAGGTGGGGAACCACTCCAGCCTCAGGAACAGCAGCTCCAGGGTTTCCCAGGGAGTGGCAGGGGTGGGAATGATTAGGTTTAATTAGCAGTGAGGTCTGTGCTCTGAAATGGGAGGAATTATCGGAACAATAGGGGGAAGAGGGAGGTTTAGATGGGATATTGGGAAGGAATTGGGGTCTGACATTCCTGAGGGACCTGGAGCTGCTGGAGAGAATCCAGAGGGGACATGGAGATGCTCCCAGGGCTGGAGCCCCTCTGGAGCCAGGCTGGGAGAGCTGGGAATGTTCCCCTGGAGAAGGGAAGGATCCAGGGAGACCTTGGAGAACCTTGCAGGGCCTGAAGGGGCTCCAGGAGAGCTGGAGAGGGATTTGGGATGAGGGCTGGAGGGACAGCACCCAGG